ACCTGGAATGAAAAACACAACGCACAGGTTCAATAGCAGAATGGAGGGGACAAAGGAAAGAATCTGTGAACTTGAAGACGGAATAGAAATTACCCAACCTGAACAACACAGAGAAAATAGGCTGAAAAAAATAAATGAACTGAGTCTCAGGGAATTGTGGGACTATAAAAAATATTCCATTATATCACTGGATCCCAGAAGGACAGGAGAAAGAGGGTAGGGCTGAAAAATACCAAATAAGTAATGGCTGAAAACCTCCCTAATTTGGCAAAAGATATAAACCTACAGATTCAAAAAGTCGAGCAAACTCTAAACAGGATAAACCTAAAGAAATCCATACCAAGACATATCATAGTCAAACTTCTAAATACTCAAGACAACACACTGTCCTGCAACTTTTTTTTTTTTTTTTTTGGTGTTTTGTATGCACAATGCATTAGTTGCCTTTCACTAGGTTATGCTACAGTAACAAATGATGCCTGAATCTCTGTGGCTTACAACAGTAAGTATTTATGTAAGTGTTTATTTCTCACTCACCTTACATGTCTGCTCCATGTGTCTTCATTCTTCCAGGACACAAGCTGAAGGAGCAACCCATATCTCAATGGCAAGGCAGAGATAAAAGAACAATGGCTGAACTACACAAGGGCTCTCAAAACTTCTGCTTAGATGTGTCCTGTCTACTCAAAACTCACTAACTAAAGTTGTAACTGCATCAGACCAATTTGGCTCAACTTTTATGTAACAAAGTTTTAAGTTGTTTTTCAGTAGCCAGAGATCACCAGGTTGAAATTCACATATCTGAGCATGCCCAGATGAAGCAAGCGTGCAACTATAGGTGGAACCTAAGTGCTCTGACCAGACTGGGGAGCAGGGACTGAATTAGGCAGACACCAAAAGGCAGGATCCAGAACCCAATCAGATCAAGCCCTGGCATCACACAATGGCAGAATCCAGTCAGAGGACACTTCCTGGTATCACCTCATTTGCAAGGTCCAATTCATACCCTCTGACTATAAAACCAGCCCAATCCCCTTGTTTGGGAACACACTGCCTTGGGAATTATTCCTGAAGTGATCCTTGGTTGTGCCAAGTAATAAGACCCCCTTGCTGTTACCGACTTGGCTGTGTCTATTGGCCTGATACCCTCCAAGCAAATGAACCCCTCCGTTTGGGAGGTAACCAAGTCACACAATTAAACCCAAAGCCAAGAGGGAAGTGGACTCTACCCATTCTAACAGGAGACACTGCAAAGTCATATATGGCTTTGCAAAAGCTTTGCATTGTTGCAAAATCCAAATACAGGGAGGGAATGAAGAATTGGAAACAATAATCCAATCTACCACAAGTTGCACAGTGGATCATAAATATTCATTTCCTTCCTGGCCGCCCAAAAAATACCCTCATCCTCTTCCCCAAGACATCCCAAAAGTCTCATCCAATGATTGCATCAGATCTTATGTCCAGGAACTCATGATCTACACCAGATCTTGATTCAACTTTTCTTAGAGACCTATGAATTAAAAAGACAAATTATCTGTCCTACCCACTCCCAACATACAGTGGTGGAAGAGAAATAGGGACAGAGACAGGAAAATACACTAAACACTCCTGTTTAATAGGGGAAGACTGCCTAATCTGGGTGTGGGGCAACCAAGAAGTCTTCCCGCAACAGGGGAGTGAGCAACTGGAAAATTATAAGAGACGAAACCACATCTGCATTTTAGGATGATTTAGAGAAAAATCTTTAGAGTAAATTTTTAAATGGCTGTATTGTTTACTAAGTGTTATTGAGGCAATGCTCACGTTTGTATTAATAGTTTGAATACTTCTAAAGAATATAACATCACAAACCTAACGAAAAAGGATCCCAAATTAAGGTGAGAGGAAATTGTTATTATTATGATAGAAACAAATGGCTTGAGGATAGAAGGCACGCCACTGCTGCCTTGCACGCATCCTCGCCTACCCCCGCCATGGAAAGTATGCTTTAGGCCTTGCTACTTCAAGTCATCTTTGACACTCCCAGTTTTAAAAGTACAGTTTTGAAAAGTGATGTTCACAGAGTGTACAGACTCAGAACACTCACCTGTGCATCACATCTTTGGAATGTTAGGGGAAATGGTGCCAGACAAACCCAGCACACAATAGTCTCAAATGTGTCCACTTGTTTGGCACCAACAGCTGCTGAGAGAAAGATAGGTTGGTCCTGCTTGTTTTTTCAAGTGTTTTCACACTATGCACAATAAGATCGTGATGAAGGACTTAATGAAAGTGACTACATGCAACCTGAATGTCCAACAGTAGAGGAATGAGTTAAACAACGGTACATCCATAAGACAAAATAGTACGCAATCAAGAATTTCAAAGAAATTTTTATGACTCTCAATATAGACATACAAATGTATGGATCTATGCACACACACACACACACACACAGAGCCTATTCTTCCATCCATTCACATATTAAAAAAAATAATCCATGACTGAACGTACCAAACTAGTAACAGCGATTTCTTGGCAGGGTATTCTGGAGGATTTTCTTTTAAATGTATTTTCCAAATTTTCTAAATTTCTAAATGTAGAAATTTTATCTAAAATGAGTTTAAATTTCTTTCAGAATCAGAAAGAAAACAAAAATGAAAGGTCTTTCTTGTTCGTTTCCTTTTTCAGGGATAAAGAAAACATTTCATCTGAACACAGTACTTCACTGACTGAAATAGGCTGCAGAGGATGAGGAAGGTACGACTGAGCCACATCCATCTTTTGGGCCCTGCGGCAGGGAAAAGGCACGGGCACCGTTGCAGCCTGTGTGTGCTACTTATTCTACAAGCATGAGTTTTGAAGCCAATAAATTTATGAAAGAAAAAAGTTAACGCTTATATGCTAGAAAATCAGAAATAATGTTCCAGTCCTTTAATTTAGTAATGCCCAATTCAACATTTTCAACAATGGTCAACAAGGTTATTCCCTACCAAAATTCACATGGTACCTGACCTGAACACAGAAGCTACAAATTCCAGTTAACTACAAGTAAAATTTTTGCTAAAGTAATACCTTAACAGCACCTAACACCTTTCAAAGTGAAACACTTGTTTCTTAGCCATGTATTTACTGCATCAACCTTTTTGGAGAGAGCCTTGGGTTCAGAGATCCAGTGTCTGGATTTAAGTGTTGGGATCATAGCTTTCTCTGTGTGCCCTTGGGTCAAACCTTGGCTGTCATAGCCTTACTTTTTTTGTCTCCAAGTATCAATCAGAGAGTGTAAGACAAAGTACTCAGCACACCATAATCTACAAAGCAAAAATGTCCTCTAACTGTTGTTAGAAAAACTCTAGCATCAATCACAATCACAGTTACAGGGGATCTTTGAGAAAAATTCCCAGATGGGCCTGACACCCTGACACTGAACACAATGTAGCGCTCTACCCTCCTCAATGGAACAAATAACACTGAGAGAATGTCACCATTTTTTTATTTTTTGCAGATTAAATTTAATTTACACACTGCAGAACACTGCATTAAAAAATCTTTACTTTTTTATCTTTTTAATGGAACTTCTAATTTAAAGGAAACTCTATATTCCCTGTTTTTTTCACCACCATTTTATTTAAATAGATTTAGGGGGTACAAGTGGTTTTTTGTTACATGGATAAACTGCATAGTGGAGAAGTCTAGGCTTTTAGTGTACCTGTCACCTGAATAGTGTACACTGTACCCAGTGGGTCATTTTTCATCCTGCAGCCCTCACTCTCCCCCTTCTGAGTGTCCAGTGTCCATTCAATCATCCTGTATGACCATGCATACCCACTGCTTAGCTCCCACTTATAAGTAAGAACATGCAGTATTTAGTTTTTTGTTCCTGGGTTACTTCACTTAGAATAATGGCCTCCAGTTCCACTTAATCAAGGTGAAGTGAGTTTGCTGCACGCTTTACTGAAAGAGGGGCTGCATACCTGCACTGAGGAAAACAGGGCAACTCCTACATATATTAACTGATTGTCACCTGCCCCCTCGTGTTTAAAATCCAGCTTGTTTGCTTTCTCAGGAGTTGGCAAACGACAGCCTGCAAGCCTAATCCAGCCTACCATCTGCTTTTATAAAGTTTTATTGGAACATAGCTATGCTCATTTATGTAGTATCTATGGCTGCTTCTGCACTACAATGAAAGAATTGAGAGGTTGCAACAGAAACTATATAGCCTATAAAGCCAAAAATATTTACTATCTGCCCCTTTGTAGAAAAGTTTGCAAATCTCTGCTGTTTTTGACATGCTTATCTCCATAAAAGGAGAAACCATAGGAAGTTACATATGGATTTCACTGAAGGTCCAGCACTTCTACCCTAGAAAAAGATATAAAAAGGATAAGAAATCATCCTTGCCAGAAATCCGTAAGTGGGACAAAATTTTGCCAATTTAAATAAACCATGCTCTTTTTTTCAAAATAAAAAGGATAGGAAAACCCTCTTACCTTACTGGAATAGTAAGGGAGTCAGCTGTGGGTTGTGGGGAGACCCCCTTCGTCTTCTACTCCTCAGAGCTCCCTGCTCTATCACAGTGTAACATACAGAGCAGAGCTAAGGTCCAGGCTGGCTGAATAACTGAGATTCTACCTTGAGGGAGAGGTTAGATAATACCTAGATGTTCAGTACTGTGTTTCCTAGAACATGAAGTGTGTGTGAAACCCTCTGAACAGTTCCCATCTCTCGCTGTCCAGAAATTTCTAAGTTTAAAAACAATCAAAGTATGGTCTACTCCAGAGAGAAGAGGCATTTCCAAGTTGGCAGAATCCTAAAACAGATACCGTAAGATATTTCTTATTTCCGTACTCTTTTCTAACTTGGTCATACTAGTTTTGAACACAAAAAAAATCTTTCTAAATGTTCAGCATTTAGCTATCTTGACAAATAGTTCCTCACTATATTCATCCAAATAGAATACGGATTCTTAACCATTTTGAAATAGATTCCAACTTAGGAAGAAACACAATAAACGAATATTATATAGTAAATAAACTTTATTTATCTGTTCCTCCAAGATGACATTGCCAACAGTCACAGATCTGCATACAATACAGTTATGTATTGACTATTTACAATTTACAGTAGTATTTTTTCCTCTGAAAAATATAAGTACAAAAGCTAAGTAAACAATGAGGTACTGCCATTTGGGATTTATCATATGTCATAGCTTAAAGAACTAGCAAATAGTCTTTAGCAAATAGTCAACAAATCAATCTGAATAAAATAGTCAATTAAATGCTCTAGTTTATCAGAAAAATCCACTAAGTTTCACCTCAAAATTTATTGCACAAGTCTTTGAAAAAAAAAAAAATCACCCTAAAAATAAATAGGAAAGGCAAGCAGTTCTTTAAAAAGAGGGATAAAAAGAACAAAGGAACATTAAGTAAGCCCATAAATCAGGTTAAGTTATTCAAAATATCTTTTAAACATAAAACTCTTCCCAACAGAAAATTGAAGAAAAAAGAAAAAACTATCACCATTTCTCCATTGATAAAATCTATTTTAAAGGCAGCCTGCGATAAATCTATGGGCCAGATTTTTCTTGGGTCTTTTTGCTACGTGAGCGACCCTGAAGAACAGCTTCATTCTCAAAGAGTAGCAATGTGGACAGGTTTCCAAGCAGCAGTCACCCATCGTCACTCTCCCCATTTCTTCAAGATGAAGATCTGAGCCATGACTGGAAAAGAAAAAGGAAAAGAGGACACAGCAAGAAAAAACCTTTTAAGGTCAGCTTTTGGGGAGATTTGTTTTTTCAAGTTAAAATAATACTCTATGGTCTGGAGATTACAGTAAAGAAGTAGAAACAATCTAAATATTAAATCTTTAAAAAAATTGGAATGATTGGAATGATTCAAACCAACCTACAGTCAGCAATTCTGGAAAATAGCATTTGTAAGTGAAATTTGGAACTGCAACCTTTCATCATGTACTGAATGCTACCAGGTCATAAAGAAACCTGAGAGTAAACATCCTGACTTAGCTGAATCTCACAAAGATGCAGCTCTTCATATTAGATTTAATGAGGAGGAAGAGCTCTTCCCTCTTTCTCAGTGTTTTGATTGTTTTACATACTGCAATTCTTCCAGCATGATATGTATAACAGCAAAAGACAACAAATTTAACTTAAAAAATTAAAAATGCTGGCCAGGCGCGGTGGCTCACGCCTGTAATCCTAGCTCTCTGGGAGGCCGAGGCGGGTGGATTGTTTGAGCTCAGGAGTTCGAAACCAGCCTGAGCAAGAGCGAGACCCCGTCTCTACTAAAAATAGAAAGAAATTAATTGGACAACTAAAAATATATAGAAAAAATTAGCCGGGCATGGTGGCGCATGCCTGTAGTCCCAGCTACTCGGGAGGCTGAGGCAGGAGGATTGCTCGAGCGCCCAGGAGTTTGAGGTTGCTCTGAGCTAGGCTGACGCCATGGCACTCTAGCCCGGGCAACACAGTGAGACTCTGTCTCAAAAAAAAAAAAAAAAAATTAAAAATGCTGTGAGAAACAAAGCCAAAATCTTCCTCCTAATAATGTTTCTTAAAATGCTAAAAGCCAGTAGTCAGATCAAGTATGAGTTTAAAATGCCATAAAAATAAATTACCACATAAGATTAAATAAAAGAGATAAACTTTCCATACATATTTAGTGGAAGGGGGAAGTTTGAAAGTATGGTCCACTACTCATGATGTACTCCTAATAATATATTATTTATAAAACCAGTTCAACAATCATGTTGGTCCTAGGAATCTAAAGAAGGTATAAAAAAGATCTTTGGTTATATTTAAATTCTTTTGTTAGTTATTATTTTGAAACCTTAGCTTGAGCTGCTGTGGGCAACAAAATTCAAGAATGATTCAACAATGGTGCACAATGGCAATGTCATAAAAGACAAAAAAGGATGGGAGAATTTTTCCAGTTTAAAAGAGACTAGAAAAACATGACTGCTACATGTAATGTGCAATCTTTAAATGAATTCTGGCTTTTAAAAAATTATGGAAGACATTATTTGGAAAACTGGAAAAAACTGAATATTTATTATATACTAGATAATAGCATTGTTAACATTAAACTTTCTGAGATAACTGTATTGTATGTAGGGCATTTTCCTACATACAATTATATAGTGTTCTCAAAGATATATTCTAAAGTATTTAGTTTATGTCTACAACTGTCAAATACTTGCAAGCATAATGTTTGCAGGTAACTGTTAAATGTTACAAAAGGGGAAAAGATATATGGAGACGGAGAGAGAAAGAGAAAATTTGGCAAAACGTCAATAACTGGTAAATCTAGGTGAAGGAAGTATGGGTGTTCACTGTACTATTTTTGCAAATCTTCTGTTTGAAATGTTTCAAATTAAAAGTTGACTAGACAATCAATTAATCAATCAACAGAAAGGCTACATAGTATACATTTCTAGTGATAAATGATAGTATTTAACTGGAGTAATATAATGACAAGTGCAATGATACACTTATAATAATGTTTTAAAAAGGAAACTATTAGGTTATTAAGTATGAAATGTCCAATTTCCTTAAGTATTAAATTTGACAGTTGATTATCTCTGACATATCACTTTGACACTTCTTGTTTTATGTTTATTGTGAAGGTACATCCTCAAGTCTTTCAAACACACATTTTGGCTTGTGATTATCTTTGAAATTTTTTTTAAGAGCAATTTTTGTGAAACCATAAATAAATCAAACATTTGTGTTATTTTCAAATATGAGTTCCATCGTGGAACCAATGCAGCACAGACAGCTCAAAATATCAACAAAGTGTTTGGGAAGGATGAGCTAAAGAACGCACAGTACATCGATGATTTGAGAAGTTCCATTCCAGTGATTTTCATTTTGAAAATGAGCCACGTGGGCGACCTGACACCAAGGTGGATAATGATGAGCTGAAAGCTGTAGTGGAAGCGAATCCATCTCAACCTATGTGTGAATTAGCAGCAAGATTTGACGTATTCCAATAATATTGGACCATTTGAAACAAATGGGCAAGGTAAAGAAGCTGGATAGATAGGTTTCGCATGAGTTAAACAAGAGGCTGAAGAGAAATCCACTCAAAGCTTGCCTTTCGGGCCGGGCGCGGTGGCTCACACCTGGAATCCTAGCACTCTGGGAGGCCGAGGCGGGTGGATCACTCAAGGTCAGGAGTTCGAGACCAGCCTGAGCAAGAGCGAGACCCTGTCTCTACTAAACAATAGAAAGAAATGATCTGGACAACTAAAAATATATATATATAGAAAAAATTAGATGGGCATGGTGGCACATGCCTGTAGTCCCAGCTACTTGGGAGGCTTGAGGCAGAAGGATTGCTTGAGCCCAGGAGTTTGAGGTTGCTGTGAGCTAGGCTGACGCCACGGCACTCACTCTAGCCCGGGCAAAAAGAGTGAGACTCTGTCTCAAAAAAAAAAAAAAAAAAGCTTGCCTTTCTTTGCTGTTATGATACCATATTGCAATGCATGATGAAAAATGGATTCTTTTTGACAATCTCAAGTGTTCGACACAATGGCTGGATAAAGATGAAGTGCTGAGAAATATAGTCCAAAACTGAATATTCACCCAAAAAAGATACGGGTGTCTGGTGGTCCAGCACTGGTATTATCCACTACAGCTTCATGAAAACTGGTCATTTGATTACAGTGGATGTCTACTGCACCCAATTGGACAAAATGATGAAGAGGCTTGTGATTAAACAGCCAAGGTTGGTCACTAGAGACAGCCCAATCCTCTTGCAAGACAACACTTGACCACATGTCGCACAAACAACGCTGCTCAAACTACAGAAGCTGGACTTGGAAACTCTCTATCATCCATCACATTCACCAGACCTCACACCAACTGACTACCACTTCTTCCAGGCTTTGGACCACTTCTTGCAAGGAAAAATATTCAATTGTCAACAAGCTGTGGAAAACGCCTTTGGTGATTTCATCACCATTCACTCTCCAGGCTTCTTTGTTGCTGGCATAAGCAAGCTACCATTAAGATGGCAAAACTGTGTCAATAGTTTAGGCACATACTTTGATTAATTGTACTGCTTCTTGTTTGAGATACAATAAACTAGACCTTTGATTTGAAATTGGACATTTCATATTTAATGACCTAATATTAAGACCTATTGGGTTAGTTACGAAATTTACATTTTAAAAAATTTTCACGTTTATTATAAAAGTAACCTAATAAAACCACACGCTGCATTGCCAGCCATTGTAGTATAAACAGAAATGATAAAAAGATAGTTCTAGATAATTACTAAGACAAATTAAACGATATATACAAAAGTCAACAGGAAACTTACATGTATGCACAAAGGATTTTTGAAGCTAAAAGCTTAATAAAAGAAATACATCTTGGCATTTTAAACCTTGATACTATTAGCTGAATACTGGCTGAATTAACAATCAGAGAGAATCTTTATTTTAGTTATAATTAAGCCCTATTAATTGTGATCCAACTTACTTGTGAAAATTCTGACAAAGTCTGAGGTAAAGACATACCTTAAATTTTTAGGTGGTGCTAAATCAACCTAATAGCATGAATAACATGTAGGGGTGAGGGGACAGGGTTTAAAAGGTAAAGACAATCAACTGTGCAGAGATATTCTGGATGCTTTCATTTCACTGTAACATTATGTTAATCAGAAAGAGCCACATTCAATGAAAGCAGGCTACCTAAGGGTCTCCTCAGGACAAATGTGTTATCTTGTGTTATACTGTATGATCCCAAGAAGTAATAAAAGTATATTTTTAAATCAACCTTACTAGCTTTCATTATTTCAGACTAGCCTTGACTCTCCTTAGGCTTTATGGTATTTTTAATTCTGGATTTGTGAAATATATCACATCACTTTTATCTAGAAAATGACTTTTCATTTGTCATAATAATTATTAATTTCAAAGACCATTCTTGGAAAATTAAAAACAAAAATGAACATAAGATACATAAACTTAGGCACTTTTTTGGATTCTTTAATAAAATTTCAAGGAGCAACTTTGAAACTTTCAACTACTATTTAAAGAAAATTTCTTAAAATTATGTAACTCTTGTGGTGGTGATTATTAATCTACATATTATTAATCCATATAACAGAATTAACAGAAAATACTTACATTAACCATTAGCACAATCATGTTCATTAAACAAGAGCAAAAGAATTCCAGCAAAATGGTTAGTATCATGCAATACATTCGATTTTTGCACAAAAGACACAAGACATATTATTCTTCACTCACCACATGCTAACTAAGCACAGATTGATGGTTTATTCAGAAGATACCACTGCGAGGTGAAGTAAACTACAAAGCCAGGAAGAAAAAAAGCTTATTGGGTTAGTTTTAAGACTTAATATAACACAGAGATTATATGTGTGTATGAAGTTCATAGGATTAATCAGATTGTACTTAAATTTTTCTCAAATCTCCCCCAAATCAAGGGAAAAGTAAAATATAAGGAGTCTGTAACATCTCCCCATTCTAAGTAAATATAGTATTATATAGCTGAGATTTTACTTGCAACTTTCATTAAAAAACTTACGCAATATAATGAAAGGCGTATTTCACATTTTAAGTATATATTTATCCAGTAGATAAATGAGGGGTTATTATATGCTTTATAAAAGGATTTCTTTCATAATTCCAATAAAGTACACATTAAAATTTGATTTACATAATCTCAATTTACCCTAAAAAGTTTCTGAGAAAATGTTGATTAATTTGAAAGGTAATATGCCTATATGTTTAATTTTCATTCCTAAAATGTATCAATTTTATCACTGAAAACTCTCTTGTAATTCAATAGTATATCAGGAATGGTGACCCAAACTGAAATTTCAATTCAAAGGAATTAAATATAGCTTTTACTTTGGCAAACCTTATATACATTCTATGCCCTATTTTAAGATGGTCGTAATCCAAAATCATTAATCAGCTTCATGGCCTGCTTTAAGATGGCAGCATCAAATACAACTGTTGTTTATAAAATCTGAGTCTATTCTTGGATAGTATGAGCAACTTAGATGTATCATTTTATATATAATTTTATATTTAACATAAAGTTAGTAAAAAGCAGCAAAATCAAACTAGAAAATGTTTCCAACATACATAACACAATGAGGTTAATATCCTATTGGAAAACTTGCAGAAGTATGCAAAATATATGTATATGGATGTTCCCTGTGTCTATGCTTGTAAATACTGAAAAGCTGAAAACAACCTAAACAAATAGAATGAATAGGAAACTGATGAACTGAATTACAGGACACCCATAGAATCACACAATCAGTCATTAAAAAGAATGAGGTAGAGCAGTTTGTAATGAGGTAGAATAATGTAAAAATATATTAAGTGAAAAAAGCAAGTTGTTGCATACCCTCATTTTTATACAATAAAATAATTAGGTGATAAGGTAATAATTATAAATGTATATTAAGGTTTAGAAAATGTGGGGACATTCTACCATACTATTAACAGAGATGATCTTGGCATGGTAGAAATAGTTGAGAAGTTAAAGATCACGAAGGACATGAAGGACTGACTCCCTTTCTATAATGTTTCTGAATAGTTTGCAATGGGTTTTGCAATGATTACGTATTACACATTCTAACAATATCAGAGACAAAATCACATTCAAGATAAGAAATATGTGTTTTACATGTGCAGTATTTCTATGTGTGAGTTTTATTTGCATTTGCTTCCTGAATCCAGCTTTACATGCATCTTCTGACCCCCTGCAAAGAGAAGGGGTAAACCTTACACTGGAATGGAAAACTTTTGTACCTAACAACACTGAAAAGTTCTGATGATTTTTATTAATTCAGGGGAGATTTAAAAAATTCCAAACAAAGGGAGAAAAGTGAGACACTTTAATATCATACAGACTGATCCAGGGCAAGGACTGATCAAGAACTAGACACAACATGAAGGATCAGTGTGAAAGCAAAGCTGAAACCAAGTCAACAGAATGGCAACTGTAAAAAGCAACTAGAGTGGATGGAAAATGAAAACAAGCCAAACCTTTTTCATTAAACAAGAGAAATTTTCCTTAATGGAGTCATCAAGAAAATAGTGATGTAAGTTTATGTCATTAAGTTTTGCTAGTACTTTGGAAGAGAAAAATGTATTTCTAGGGAAACTTTTAAAAGTAGGTTTCTATATAACAATGGAATCTCTCAATTTCAAGAGATTATTTGTCACCCAGTTACAATAAATTTTCTTAATGAAATTATCTTAAAGAATAAGTAACATTTTCCTTTAAAAAAAAAATCAGAGGGTGTACTTCTAGGGCAGTTTTATTTAGTAAAAAACAAATAATCAGACAAACCAAGGACATTTGTATTCACTCTTGTCCCTACTATGCTACTCAGTCTACTCTGGCCATCTAAGCTACCTAAGCCATCACAAAATGAAACAGCAGATAAAATAAACTAAAAATTGAGAGGAGGAAAAAGGCCATTCTAGGAAAGACAAAGATATGTGCATCTGGTATGTGCATTTTTGTTTTAACCTCTGCCTATTGTTTATAAGGCAGTTTTTTCTCTACTTGAAACAAATCTAAAACTTTGGATTTTATACTTTACAGGGAAAGCAACCTTAGAGACAGTATAATCCAACACCCTCATTTTACCAATAAGGGCCAGAAATATAAAACAAGTTTGCCCAAAGTCACATAGCAGTCTGGCTGTTGAGATCTAGGCTTTCACCACAGCAATACTGCATAAGGCTGACTCCAAGGTGCTGAAACTGGGATGGAGGCATTTGGTGAGCCAGTGTCATTCCAATGACTTGACTCTTCTAAGAGGCCTTCAGTAGTTTTTCTTACACATGTTAATTATTAGTTCATCTTTCCAGTCTCATTTTCCAGGAAAGACTAGTTCTACACATCACTAAATAATCACCACCACCACCTCCACATTATCACAGAAACCCAGTGCAGGTACTATGCTCTGCTTCTCCAACAATCCTGACAAGATCATGTTAGTATTGTGAAGAGACAGAGGCTCTGAGACTTGCCTGAGTTTCCACAGCAAGTCAATGAAGGACTAGGTCAAATAAACCAGACTCATAATTATGCTCTTTAATTTAATCTTACTTGACAGATGATGGCTTCCTATCTATGAAATATACTCTTGAGATGAGGTTAAACTCTGAAAACACTAAGTAATAACTTGCATTTTCAAATAAAGAGTATAAAACTCACTGAGGAGAGGGGAGGTACAGTAAAAACAGGACAGAGTAAAAAACACCTTACCAGCAATCATAGAAAGCTTTTGATCAATGCCATAAAGTAAAAGTATAATCATCAGGGTCAAAAAGCAAAGTTTTAAGAATGTATTCCTCCTATAACACCTGATAAATAATGCAAACACTAATATGAGCTGCACACTGTCAACACAAAGTACAATCCACACTCTTTCAAGTGTCCCAAATATTAATTTGACAAGGGAGGCAGCTCCATAATGTGTTTGGGTTTATTTTGATTTTTTTATACCAGCTTTTCAGCCTTCAAAGCTAAAATAATAAAGGATTCAAGCTTGCCGATTTTAACACAAGGGAAATTGCAGATGTACATTTACAACAAATTATAGAAAAGATCCATTTGGAGCATAACACTTAAAGCTAATGTGAGCAAATCTGTTTTGTTTTGGTTTTTTTTGAGGCAGGGTCTCGCTCTGTCACTCAGGCTAGAATACAGCGGCATCATCATAGCTCACTGCAACCTCTAACTCCTGGGCTCAAGCAATCCTCCTGCCTCAGCCTGCTGAGTAGCTGGGACTACAGGTGCATACCACCATGCCTGGCTAATTTTTCTATTTTTTGTAGAGATACAGTCTCACTGTGTTGCTCAGGTTGGTCTCCAACTCCTGGCCTCAAGTGATCCTTCCACCTTAGCCTCCTAGAGTGCTAGGATTATAGGCATGAGCCATAGCACCCAGCCTATTTTTAAAGGATTATTTAACAGACTCCTAAAGCTTTGTTTTCTATACATTTCTCTGTGCTCACTTTCTATTGGAAAAAGATAAGTCACTGTTCATATCTGTGTTTTGTTCCAATGAGCTACGTTGGACAGGGGTAGAAAATTAGTTGAAATTTCTTCAAGAGACTTGTTCAAAGACAGTGATTCTTATTGTTCATTTTATTAATGAGAGCAGTCTTAAGGCAAATGTGAGTCTTGCTTCAACTTTCTCAATCAACAGTGATTTTAACTTTCCATCAAATACATGAAACAATCACTAGTCACTCTGTTAAGTCTCAAGAATCTCTTTAGATTGACAAAAGGTGACTCAATTTGATTAATTTATAAGTCATCTCATAGTCTGGGATCTTCCTCACTTCATACTCATCATAACTCATTTCATATTTCCTATACATCTTTTTATTTTCATTCTTCTTGAGACAGGGTCTGCTCTGTTGTCTGGCCTAGAGTGCAGTGGTGTCATCATAGGTTATTGCAACCTCAAACTCCTGGGCTGAAGCAATCCTCCTGCCTCAGGCTCCTGAGCAGCCGCAACTACAGGCATGCACCATCATGCCCAGCTGATTTTTCTATTTTTTCTACATATGGGGTCTTTTGCACAGGCTACTCTCAAATTCCTGGACTCAAGTGATCATCCCATCTCGGGCCTCCTGAAGTGCTAAGATTACTGAAGTCGTGAGTCACAACACTGGGGCCTAAGCATTTATTTTTATTATCTGAATTATATTATTTAGGTATATCTTTTATTCATGTATAAATGGATGGATGTTACCTCTTCTCTCCCCAAATTAAAGGTTCCACAGGTCAATAACCATGTCTTCCATACCTTCAATTTTCCTATATCACCTATAACAACTAGAAGAGTAGATTATTGTTGACTGAACTTATCCATTAAGCAAGAGATAACAATGAATGAGATTTTGCTTAAATGAGTGGCAGAAAAGTAGGACATTCTTTCTGGACAGGTCAGCATCAAGGATAAAGGAGGATTATTTCAGGAAGAATAGGCCAGCCACCATTTCATCCCTGTCTAGAATGAATACCATCGTATTCAGGAAGAAAGAGTCTAATGTTTTTCAAAGATTTCATTTCAGTTATATTTTCTTAAAAAAAGAAACTTTTTTGTGTGCTTTAAAGGGTTTTTACACTAGGACAAATAGGTGAGCACTAGAAGAGAGGAGCAGCAAGAACTTTTGTAAGAAACACAGTCTACCACGATATGATGAGATGCTTTGGAACTTACTGACGTGGTGCTCCTTACTGGGAATGCTCCAAGACATGCTAACCCACCACTATGGAGGAGATGTTTGCTTTAGTGAGAAGAGAAGAGAAAAGCAGCACGGGGTTATGAAGTAGGTAAAGAGATTAGCAGGGAGGGTAACCAAGAGCTTTGCAGGCTACTATCAAGACAGGAAAAGGAGCAGAAAGAGAAAGCTACGGGCAGGACACAAACTTCTCAAGTTTTACACTCTGCTTAGAGAGGATCTTCTTAATGAATTACTGGCCCACAGCAAAAGAAGTTTGGCATGAGGAATTTTGCATAATTTATGAAGTGATGAAGTGTGTGTTTGTCTCATTTTTCAATCACAGCTATCTTCACAAAAATTTTTTTAATAATTCAGTTGTCTGTCTACATTAAACCCTGCAAGGTGCCAAAAGCTCAAAAACACTTAAATTCTTTCAACCAGAATTAATGTATTTGGAAATCAACTGAAACAGAATAAAGAACTATAATCTATAAAACATCTAACACCATAATATAATTTGGTTTAAAAATTTATTACTGGATATACCAGAACATATGCCTTTTTCAGCCTTTCCATAAACAGCCCAAGTTCTGGAAATCCCATATAGCAGATATGGGTGTCAACCTCTTATATGCTATTAAATAAGACTGCTCTGTCCCTTGTGGGCATCCATTCACATTTGCCCTTGGTTAAACTTTCTTAATGTAAATTCACTCTCACTTTTCAGGCTGTAGTACAATAAAGATTTAAAATTTTTAAGTTTCTGTTATCAACTTAAAGTCTTTATCAATGAGACAGAATATAAACAGATGAGATGAAGTCATCTTCTATCTATAGCCTACTTCTAGAGTTTACCATTAGCCGAGCATCTTCTCTTTCCAAAATTTTCTGAGTCTGATCATCAGGGAACTTCAGTACAGTGGTTATAACTTTTGCCATGGTCTACAAGAAAAATGAGAGATGATCATTAATAGAGAGTGAAACACATAAAGTTCCAATCCATTCTGACATGTTCTGCTGGTGGGATTCTTTAGTGCTCTCAATGGAAGCCACGAACAAAGAAGTATGATGTGAAGGTATTAGTCAAGGAAATAACAGCCAACACTAGAATTTCAATTTAAAAGGACTCCTCACAATGTCTGGGTTTATAATTGTTTTAACAAGATGCATTTACAATAGCATGAAGCTATATAAAGTTCTAACACTCATGGCCCTTTGTTTATTAAGTTGAAATTTTATTATTCATTCATTTTAAAAGGCTTTTTATTAGCAGAAATCTGTCTAGTAAATGATATATTGCCAAAATATATGCTCTTAATAATCAGAATTAAACACTCCCCATGTTCAGCTATAACTAAATCACATCATATATCTCATAAACACGGCTACTGCATGAACATGAACATGCTTAGTAGGTATTTTTCAAGACATGCAGCACATCAGCCTAATAGAAATACAAATTACGTTTAAATAAACACAAGATGTTTCGTTTGATAGAAAACATGATGAATCAAAACATTACACATGGTGGCTTGCAAAACAAGATCATAAATTGTGCAGATCTAAATAAATATACCGTAAGTCAGATTGTCACCCATAAGCTCCTGGAAAATTCTCCTCAAAGGATGAAACTCCCTATTTTGTATCAAGATGAGATGTTTTGAGGGAGACAGAGAGGAAAGAAGATACCACTTATGAAATACGTAGGATAACAAGTTCAGTGCTTACATACAAAATCAGGAGGTAGTACTCTCCTAAAGATTCCTACAGTGGATAGGAAGGTAGCCCAAGAAACTGACCCTTAATATTCTTTGTTCTCACACAGACCAGAGGGTTGGGGGCGATGATCTGGGGAAGGTCATTAAGGAAAAGATATTATAATAGTTAACCAAAAATATTGGAAACACACATCATTAGGGTGAAAAAAAGTATCATACTTATTTCCAGGAAGGAAAGGAACTAATTAAAAAAAAATCCTATTATATACTAAAGCCTAGGCAAGACACTTTACATATTCCTAATACTTACTTCAACCAACAGATCAACTAATACTGTTCCTCAAACCACAAACTCCATGCATGGCAATATTTTAGTTTCAGATCTCTTCTTCCTTTTATCTTTGCCTCTGCCATTTTAGTGAGCAAAAAAAAAATACCATTTAAAACAACTTACTTCTTGGAGAATTCCAAAGGCATTTTACAAAAGCTCTCATCATTTAAATTGTATTGCCTAGATAGCACAAAATTTTGTGTACTAAACTGAAGTCTAGAAAACAAGTACAGGTGTACCTCATTTTATTGCACTTTAGTGAGCTTCACAGATAGTGTGTTTCTTTCACAAACTGAAGTTTTGTAGCAACTCTGTGTCAAGGAAGTCTATGAGTGTCATTTTTCCAGTACATGATCTCTTCATGTCTCTGTGCCACATTTTGGTAATACTTGCAATATTTCAAACATTTTCATTATTATTGAATCTGTTACCATGATCTGTGATTAGTAATCTTTAATGTTACTATGGTAATTGCTTTGGGGTATCAAGAACCACACCCATATAAGATGGCAAACATAATTGATAAATGTTGTGTGTGTTCTGACTGCTCCACTGACCGACTGTTTTCCCATCTCTCCCTTTCCTTGGGCCTCTCCATTCCCTCAGATACAACAATATGGAAACATGTCCTCTAAGTGTTCAAATGAAAGGGAGAGTCATATGTCTCTCATTTTAAATCAAATCGAAAGCTACAAATGATTAAGCTTAGTGAAGAAGTCATGTTTAAAGCTGAGATAGGCAGAAAGTTAGGCCTCTTATGCCAAACAGTTAGCCAGCTTACAAATACAGGGGAAAAGTACTTGAAGGAAATTAAAAGTGCTACTCTAGTGAACACATGAAAGATAAGAAAGTGAAACAGCCTTATTGTTGAAATGGAAATAATTTTAGTGGTCTGGATAGAAGATCAAACCAGCCACAACATTCCCTCAAGCCAAAGCATAATTCATAGCAAGGCCCTAACTTCAATTATATGAAGGCTGAGAGAGGTGAGGTAACTGCAGAAGAAAACTGTGAAGCTAGCAGAGATTGGTTCATGAGGCTTAATGAAAGAAACCATCTCCAAAGCATAAAAGTGCAAGATGAAGCGGCAAGTGCTGATGGAGAAGCTGCAGCAAGTTACCCAGATCTAGCTAAGATGACTGATGAAGGTGGCTACACTACACAACAGATTAGACTGTTCAATGTAGACAAAACAGCCTTTTATTGGAAGATTTCACCTAGGATTTTCAACGCTAGAGATGAGAAGTTAACAACTAGTTTCAAAGCTTCAAAAGACAGGCTGACTCTCTTGTTAGGAACTAATGTAGCTGTTGACCTTTTCAAGTTGAAGCCAGTGCTCATTTACCATTCCAAAAATCCTAGTGCTCTTTAGAATTATGCTAACTCTACTCTGCCTGTGCTCTAGAAATGGAACAATAAAGCCTGGGTGACAGCATATCTATTTACGGCATGGTTTACTGAATATTGTAAGCCCACCATTGAGACCTACTGCTCAGAAGAAAAGATTCCTTTCTAAATATCACTGCTTATTAACAATGCATTGGTCACCTAAGAGCTCTGATGGAGGTGTACAAGGATATGAATGTTTTCATGTCTGCTAACATAACATTCATTCTGCAGATCAAGGACTAATTTCAACTATCAAGCCCTATTATTTAAGGAATACATTTTGTAAGGTTATAACAGCCATAGATAGTGATTCCTTTGATGGATCTGGGCAAAGTAAATTAAAAACCTTCTGGAAAGGATTCTCCACTCCAGATGACACGAAGAACATTCATGATTCATGGGAGGAGATCAAAACATCAACATTAACAAGAATTTGGAAGAAGCTGTTTCAACCCCAGCATATGACTTTGTGGGGGTCAAGACCTGCAGATGTGGTAGAAATAGCAAGAGAACTACAATTAGAAGTAGAGCCTGAAGATGTGACTGCATTGCCGCAATCTCATGATGAAACTTTAACTGATGAGGAGTCATTTCTTATGAATGAACAAAGAAAGTGATTTCTTAAGATGGAATCTACTCCTGGTCAAGGTACTGTGAACTTTGTTGAAATGACAAGAAAGGATTTCGAATATTCCATAAACTTAGTTGGTAAGGCAGTGGCAGGGTTTGAGAAGATTGATTCCAATTTTGAAAGAAGCTCTACTGTGGGTAAAATGCTGTCAAACAGCATCACATGCTACAGAGAAATCTTTTGTGAAAGGAAGAGTCAATTGATGTAGCAAACTTCATTGTTGTCATTTTTAAGAAATTGCCACAGCCACCCCCTCCTTCAGCAGCTACTACCCTGATCACTCAGCAGCCGTCAACACTGAGGCAAGACCCTATAAGCAGCAAAAAGATTGTGACTTACTGAAGGTTCAGATGATCATTAGTATTTTTTAGCAA